CGGAGTAAACAGTCATCAACTGAAATACATGCCATATTTGCCTACCATAACTTGAGAATTAGAGAACAAAAAACGTGTATGTTACAAGCCCCCTAGGCCCCCACATGCACGCCCCCCCCCCCCGGGGTCCCCAACGGCACGCACACGGGAGACTTTCAGTAATAAACAACCACCTTTAAGACTCTTAGCGGAGTAAACAGTCATCAACTGAAATACATGCCATTACATTGACGTTTTCCCACAGACATGAGTTTGATGGACTGTTGGTTTCATCCTATTCAGTGGGTAGTAACGTCGAGGTGCCCCTCCAGCATTTTGCTTGCCATACTCCGCACAAAGATACACATAGGGTTTATAGTGCGTTACTGGCAAGTCTTTCACCAGTAAATTTTGCCACGGGATGGCGGATCAGTGTGTGGCCATCTAAAGGACTTTGCTTCTATCAGACGTTATCTTTAAGTCAGATATATCCCGGAACTATTGGATTGAACCTTCTTGCATATATAACCCCCAAACAACTTTATTATTTAACACATTCAACATATCAGACCAACCCAAAACAAGCCTTACATTGGTTAACTTATTAAGTTCTGAAACGATTTATCGATTAATACAATAGTATAAATCACAGCAAATAGCGTCATCATAATGTTAAGAAACCGACCCAAAACAAAACAAACACAAATATAATTTCTTGACCACTGTCCCCTCTTATTTGTTTTATTTACTTTGAAATATTACTGCCATACCCGTAAACTCCAGATGTCATTTCCTGTCAAGGTATTGTAACCGGATCCAAATTCCATAGCAGCCCCCTGGGTGGTGAGTGACTGGCCACTGGCCGCGTTACGCCTAACCGTACTAGAGGCAGAGGTGTACATTTTGAGCTCCCCTCCTTTTATATATTCCGGGAAAACACGTATCGCCGATTGGAGCGAGTCGATAAGCCCCGAGTCAGATATGGGGGGATGTCGGCCGTGGAGCTGCGGCTTGTAGGTGGAGATCAGTCAACACGTCGTGGGTACAGTCGGCGGTGCAACGTGGCCACTCGGCGGCCAGTAGACATGTGGACCGGCATGGGCTCGAAGAAGGTAAGCGATAACAGCCATTAGAACTTACGACAACGACTTTGACATGACGGTGTTCTTAACTAATGCCCGGTGGACGCACCAACACCGGTTAAAAAAAAGGGGGGGTTGGTAGTGGTGGTTACCTCTCTTGTAGAGATGTTTAGCTGTATAGGATAAACCATAGTTCCACTATGTGTGTGTGTGTGTATGTATGTATACAAAATATAATTTTTACCCCCCCCCCCCCCCAGAATGAGAGTAAAA